TGTCTGTGCACATAACTGGCACTAGCAGGCACTAACTATACTAGCAGGCCATCGGAAAAGGCCACTTGCCTTCTTCAGCAGTTTTATCTCTCTGAAATGAACTTGTTTTATGTGATCACGAGAAGGTGAAATGGGGAAAAAAAAGAGAGTAAAGGAAGATGTACAACAATGTTCTGTATTTCTTTTACTTTTATTTGTCAAGTATCTCACATGGCCAGCAGGATCTAAGGTTTCCTTGGGTGGCTTGCTGGAATTCTAAATGTATGCCAAACTTTTCAGAATGTCCTCCCACTTGCCCTTTGCATTGCTGTCCACCCTCTTCCTCTTCACATTTCTTCTCACACAGATGACAACAGGAGACAATGGGCCATGTCTTTGTATTGGCAGGGAAGTCCTTCTAACTCTCTTGTTGCTTTCTCTCAAATCTTGGATGACCAAACTCCAATTGGTTTGTAGTGAAAGAAAAAACAGAACTAAAAATGTACCATATAATGTCCATACAATTGAATTCCATGCTGCTTTAAAAAGAATAGCTTAAATCTATTTTATAGCTATCTCCCCAGTGTAGGTTAAGTGTGTGTGTGTGTGGGGGGGGGTTTCCAACTGCAGAACGACCTTATAGTGTGATGCTACTTATAAAAGCCAGACATCCACATGCAGACACACCCACATACCCACATGCAGACACACCCACATACCCACATGCAGACACACACACACCTTTGTACATGGCTCCAACTGTGTGGGCACCTCTCAGAGTGGGAAATGAGGTGGAGAAATTGGAGAGATAAGGAAATTGGAGAGGGTCCTACTGTCTTACAAATGCACTCACTCACATTTATCATTATTGTTACGTTCCAAAGACCAGATTGTTATGTGAAAGTCTGCCTTAGGGGAAAATGGAGGATGACCACATCGTTACATAACTTCTAAACCCCTGAGAATCATGGCCCAGCCAAGTTGATAACCTTAACCATCACAGCCAGTGTTACTCTTGCCTCACACCTTGGCATTTGTTATTGAGATGTGTGTCATTAATGCATACAATGGTCAGATAGTAGATGTTTTCCTATTGCTGTAAATATAAAATGTCAGATAATGAGATGGTCGATAAGTGAGGAGTAGATATACAGTAAATCCTGTGAAACTGGTGGAAGGTGGAAACCTGTCAAAGAAGGAAAACTCAAATACTTCCCGCTAATAGAGAGTGATAGCAAAGTGTACCCTATCAAAGGTGGAAACTTGGAGGCCTGGAAAAATAAGGCAGTCCCAGCGGATTCTGACTTTCACAGGTTTCACTGGATGTACATACCATGAGTGGATATTACTTTCATTATGGTAGCAAAATATATAATAATGATGATAACAAAACACATAAGCTTCGAGCAGAACCAAGGATTGACAGTTTTGGATGTTTCATGTTTTTGCCACTTCTTCTCAGAAGGTAAGTTTTCTGAATCTTATCTCCATGGCGCCCCAGACAAGTTCTTGTTTTGTACTTAACCTATGTTTGGCTTCCTGTCTACTACTTCTGTGCTAGCTAGTGCCCCTCGTATTGCTGGTCTTTCGAAATCCAAGGGTTAGAATGTAGTGGCTTAAATTCAACATTGACTGTTCTGTTTCCCAGGTTATTTCATACAGAATGGCCACATTTACATCATTACCTTTTAGGACAGCTTTTGGAAGGACGTATTGACCAATCAGAAGGTGACACACTTCCCCAAAGTCTATGAGTCAGTGTTTCTCATCGCCCTCAGCTCCTATGGAGAAAGCCCTAGAGAAGAAGGTTTCTGGAAAGACGTCTACCAAAGGCTGAGAAGGCCACCCTTCAACAGCTCCATCTCCTCTGAGGCCCAGGTCTGACGCGGGATCTTCCTCCCTTCAGCTTTTTTTTTGGAGGATGAGATATTTGTGTTTCACTTTTGCATTCCTTCCTCTTATTTATCCTCTTCCTTTCTCACCACCCCATCTCTACCACAGACACGTAAGCTTTTCCCCTTCCTCCATGGCCACAAATAAACAGCATTTTGATGCTCTCTTGTGAAATCTGCACTCCAGGACCACAGATGAGGATCAGAGATCACTAGATGAAAGGCCACATGGCTTTCGGTTGAGAGACCAGGGCTCCCACCCTAGTTCTGCTGTTTATTTACCATGGAACCTTGGAGTGAATTAGTTACCTACCAACACCTTGGTCTCTTTGTCTATAGAATGGAACTGATAATAGCATCAACCTCCTAGGCTGTGGGGTTGATAATAACAATAATAATACACTATACATGAAAGTAGTAGAGTCAATACTGGTAGATGTTGGGGCCAGGGCAATTTCCCTTCCTAGAAGGATTCCAGGGCCAGGAACCAGAACTGAGTAGTTAGGGATGTAGAGTAGAATAGGTCAAGGAAAGGAGAGGGGCTGCAGTGGGAGAACACAGTCAAGAAAGAGATGACCAGCCAGTGGTAATGAGAGCACGTGTGGGTTGATGAGAAAAAGTTCCTGGCTCCCTCAGAGAATTTGTTAAAGAGTGACCATCAGTCAGAGCTGAGATACTTGCAGTGTGGGGCCAACAGGGTACTGATGACAGTAGGTTCAGTTAGGAATTGGTGGTCCGATGTGGATCCCAACACACAAGACAAGATGATCAGTCATCACCTATCGGGAAACCATCTGCTGTCAGCTCGATTCCAGGTGCTGTGGGGAGAGCAGTGCCTGGTGCTTAGTAAGCATTTGTAGTTTGTTGATTAATTACAAATGTAATAGAAGAGAATAAACACATATTTAAGGCCTACTATGAGGGAGCTCTGGTAGCATAGTGGCTAAGGCACTTGACTGCTCACCAGAGGGCTGGCGGTTCAAACCCATCAGCCACTCCTCGGAAGGAAGGTTGGGCAATCCTACTTCCGTAGTGATACTGCCTCGGAAACCCAAGGAGGGGTCGCTATGAGTCAGGGCTGACTCGAGGGCACATAACAACAACAACAACAACAACAACAACATGAGCCTCGGTGGCACAGTGGTTAAAAGTTCAGCTGCTAACTGAAAGTTCAGCAGTTCAAACCCACCAGCTGCTCCACAGGAGAAAGATGTGGCAGTCTGCTTCCATAAAGATTTACAGCCTTGGAAACCCTCTAGGGCAGTTCCTGTGAGTTGCAATCGATTCAGTGGCACTGAGCTGTGGTTTGAATGTGCCAGGTATTGCAATAGGTACTTTACACAATAAGTGCTTCATTTTTATTACTGTTGTACCCGCTATCACAGGTAGTTTTATCTGCATTTTATGCATGAGGGAGCTGAGAGTCAGGGGTTATGGAACTTATCTAGGTCGCAGAGCCAGTAAGCGACAGGGTCAGGACTTCAGTCTGGTTTGCCTGGATCCAACATCTACCCTATTTCATGTAAGTCATTCTGCCTCCCGACTCATTTATTGAAGGCCTACCTTATATCCAGCTGTGGGGCCTCAAGAGTAATTCCTGACCTGTAGCATCATGGGATCTAATTGGAAAAGGAGGTCTAATGAGGAAATGGGAAGACTATGGTATCCAAGTTAAGAGCCAAAGCCCTGGCACATGGCAGCCCTCCCTACTTGTTAGTTAACAAAAAGGATGAGGTTCCTGACTCAGCAGTGACTGTGCCTTGGAGGTATGGACCTTTTAAAAGCCCACAGTTTTCTTTCCTTGTTGAAGGTGAGCCCTTACTCTGCCTACCTTCACGACGCAGCCCTGCTCTATGCTCAGACCGTGCGGGAAATGATAAAGGCCGGGAGAGATTTCCGGGATGGGCGGCAGCTTGTCTACACTCTGAAAGGTTCTAATAAGACTGCACTGCAGGGTAAGTGGGAGCTCTGGTAGCATAGTGCCTAAGGCATTTGACTGCTAACCAGGAGGCTGGCAGTTCATACCCACCAACCACTCCTTGGAAGGAAGGTTGGACAATCTACTTCCGTAGAGATACCACCTTGGAAACCCAAGGAGGGGTCGCTATGAGTCAAAACCAACTCGATGGCAGTTAGTTTTTTTTTTTTTTTGGTTGGCAGGGTAAGTGGCTTTGAACCGTGGTGGGCTTGGCACTCAGGCCTGCTGCCCTGGTCCATGGTAACTTGAGATGACTGGTATGTGATTAAAGGCCACTTTATGACCTGCCTCCCACTGAGCCACAGAACTCACCTTTCTTGTGGAGACTCTGGTCTTTCATAAGAGGTGAATGGGGTTAAATCTCCTAGCTGCCACAGTGGACTCATTCTTCTCTGTGTACACCTGGTGGAGAGACCACTGGGGCACCATGCCCTCCTGAAAGTCCCACAGAAGCTTTCAGATAGAATCCAATAAGAATAAAGCTCAAGAGGATGAGATCTGCTCCTGGGGTCATGCCTACAATCCTTCCACTCTTGTGTTTGTTACTGGGGGCCCTGGGCATGACTGGTGACACAGTGACCTCTAAAGATGGGATCCATCCCAATCTTACTTTCCTTGCACGGACAGGAATTTATTTGGAAGTGAGTTACTTTGACTTCATACTGGAAGCTGACCACCTGTGTTAGCCTTTCCGTTCCTAAGTTTCCTCATTCGTAAGACAGAGATAACACCTCTGACCGCATAGAACGGAGTCTCTGAGTGGTATAAATGGTTAACATGCTTGTCTGCTACATGGAAGGTTGGCAGTTCAAGTCCACCTAGAGGCACTTTGGAAGAAAGGCCTGGTGATCCCCTTCTGAAGAATCAGCCCCTGAAAACCCTCCAGAGTACAGTTCTGCTCTCACGCACCTGGTGCGGCCACGAGTCAGAGTCTGCTCATGGCACAACTGTGCTGTTGTTGGGTGACACTGACTCAACTTGGAGCCATAGCAACCCTAAGTGACAGAGTAGAACTGCCCCATAAGCTTTTCTAGGCTATAATTTTTTTATGGAAGCAGGTTGCCAGATTTTCTTCCTGCAGAGTTGCTGGATGGGTTCAAACCACCAATCTTTTGGGTAGGAGCCAAGTGCTTAACTATTTGTGTCACCAGGGCTCCTTGGTTTTACCATACATGGTACTAGTAACCAGCATTTATTGAAGGCCTACCTTATATCCAGCTATGGGCCGAGAGCGTATCTCTCATTTAATCCTCACAGGTAGTATTACTATTCCTATTATTATATAGGGGAGTAAACTGGGAGTAGAAAGGTTATGTAACACGTCCAATATCACAATGTTATTAGGTGGTGGAGCCAGAATTCAAAGTAAGGCTCAGTTTCTCCAGGGTTCAGGCTCTCCACAGCCACATAATACTGAGGAATCATTGAAACGGATCATGTGCCTGGCACAGAGAGGGTACTCGTTATCTTTTCTTTGGCTTCTCACTCACTTAATAAATTGCATCTTAAAATTTGTCCTGTAATTTAAAGAGGACAGCCAAGGCCCATTGTTTGGAGTTTTGACAGCCTTAGTTAATGTTTACGCTATCACTACCCCTTGCAAGTGGAAATATTAAACTGTCTCCCTTCCTTCCAGCCCCTGAAGCATTTGCTTAAAAAATATGGGGTCCTCCTTCCTGCTCTCAGTTGAATCCTTTCTGCCAGATCAATGTATTTCCTCTTTGCTGCCCTTTTAGACATTCCTAATGCTGGAATTAGGGGAAGGGGATGAAGGGCAGATAGGCCGTCTGACAGAGTCTGAGGTTCCTCAAATGGCAAAACCCTCCTACGTGAGGCTATTTGAGGGTCGGGGAAGGGGCACTGTTGGTTTGAGTCAGCAGGTTGTTCAATCTTCCTTCTTTGCAGGAATCACAGGCCCTGTGTTTGTGGACTCCTGGGGGAAAAGGCTCATGGATTACTCAGTCTACGTCCTACAGAAATCTGGAAATGGGGCCACTTTTCTTCCCTTTCTTCACTATGACAGCTATCAGAAAGTAATCAGGTATGGTTGGGACACATCTGCAAATCTCAAGCAGTTAACGTGCTTGACTGCTAACTGAAAAGTTGGAGGCTCAAGTCCACCTGGGGATGCCTTGGAAGAAAGGCCTAAAAGCCTTATGGAGCACAGTTGTCCTGTGACACAAACGGGGCTGCCGTGAGTCAGAGTCAACTGGGTGGCAACTGTAGTGAGGCACAGAGGAACCACATCACAGGAGGACACGGAGAGGCTGTGGATCCTGCTGGGGCAGGAGTATACTTTCCAGCCTTTGGAATCCAGCTCCCAGATTCTGCCATCAAGTTTTCCCTGTTGTTCTCTGAATTCATCATAACTATGGTGGGCCTTTAAGGAAATATTGCCCCTGATTGTGGGCGAGGCTTGGCCACTTTAGATTGCAGTTTAGAACACAGAACCTCTCACTGCACCTCCCTTGGGTTGTGATGCTCTGGCCTGGGCTGGTCCCCATTGGCCCATTGTTTTGGGTCTTCTTTACCCAAGCAGAGATCCCTAAGCCCAGAGGAGGTGATGGAGTACAGCGCCCCCTACAGGGCTGGTAGTGAAACAGATTTGTCTCGATAGCCTAACATCGAAACAGATGCATGGACACCAGGGCCTGAATGTCATCCTGAACTCCACACCCAGAGCAACGCAGACCCACAGCTGCCCAGTTGACTCCACTGATGGTGACCTCACGTGTTACAGTAGACCTGCTCCCTAGGGTTTTCTTGTCTGTGATTTGTATGAAAGACGGTCACCAGCCCTTTCTTCTGCAGTGTCATTGGGTGGGTTAGAATTGCCAACCTTTAGGTTAGTAGTTAGGAGCTCTGGTAGCATAGTGCCTAAGGCACTTGACTGCTAACTAGAAAGCTGATGGTTCAAACCCACCAGCCACTCCTCAGAAGGAAGGTTGGGCAATCCTACTTCCGTAGTGATAACTGCCTCGGAAACCCAAGGAGGGGTCGCTATGAGTCGGGGCTGACTCGACGACAAATAACAACAATAACAACAACAGGTTAGTAGTTACGAGCTCTGGTGGCGTGTGCCTAAGGCACTTGACTGCTAACTAGAAGGCTGGAGGTTCAAACCCACCAGGCCCTCCTCAGAAGGAAGATTGGGCAATCTACTTCTGTGGTGATACTGCCTCGGACACTCAAGGAGGGGTCGCTATGAGTCAGGCTTGACTCGATGGCACATAACAACAACAACAACAACAGGTTAGTAGTTGAGCACAAATCATTTGTGCCACCCAGGGACCTTGGAAATTTGTTCTCTCAGCTATAAATCAATTAGAAAATGAAAAGGAAACCTAAAACTTCATTCAATTTCTACTTGCCCCCATGGCCTCCATCCCCAACTCAGATCAATGTGAGACTTCTCCCTTACTCTTAGGGAATTTAATCTACCAAAATTGATCAGCCCAGGAATGACTCACAACCATGGCAAATAGATTCTCTGTATTATAGGAATAGGCATATAGCATAGGCTGTGGTCTGTGAAATGTCAAAGTACTAGATAACAAGATTTGTCTCTATCAAGCCTGGGTGAAAATCCAGCAACATTGGAAAATCAGCACACCCTCTTTTATATAGAAAGAGACATGATTTAAATCAAAAGATTGCGTTAGCTAGTCTACCTGGCGAGAAGCTCTTGCTCTTCCCTGAATTAGATTATCTGCAAGCTGGATTTGCAGAGTCAAGGTGAAATGGAGAAATTGGATGGGCCGGTAAAAGTTTGAATTAAGATATCAAGATGCACTTTTACCAAATGACATGTATGTTTCAGTTGCCCCTGAGGTAGTGACAACTAAAATAAATCAAGTAAGGCTTTGTGTTTTTTCTTTAAGACCCATGAGGAATTTCTCCAATATTTCTTGGCCCCATGGCTCCCTTCCTGTAGACAGACCTGGCTGTGGATTTTACAATGAGCTCTGTGATAGTGAGCCTGCTTTTACAGGTAAGTGGAACTGCCTGGAGAAGGTAGCAGGAAGGCATTGTCTAGAGCAGGATTCCTCAATTGCAACACTGTTAACATTACAAGCAAAAACCAAAGTCACTGCCATCGAGTCATTTCTGACTCATAGCAACCCCTCCTTGGTTTTCTGAAGTGGTATCACTACAGAGGTAGATTGCTCAATCTTCCTTCTGAGGAGTGGCTGGAGGTTTTGAACCACCAGCCTTCTGGTTAGCAGCCAGATGCCTTAGGCACATTAGGGGCTGGATAATTCTTTGTTATATGTGTAGGGGCTGTCCTGAGCATCTAGTATGTTTAGCGGCAACCTCGGTCTCTATCCACTAACTGCCAGTAGCAAGCCTATGAGTTGTGAATCCAAAAGGTCTCCAGACTTGGCCAAATGTCCCCTAGGGGGTAAAATCTGCCCCCTCCTGTGTTGAGAGCCACTTCTCTAGGGAAACCTGCCTCAGAAGCTCCATATATGGGAAGTAGAAAGCATCTGGGCAGGGTTAGGAGCCCAGGCCCTGGAATTCCAGGGCTCATGCCTCAAGAATGAGCCTGGGAGAGCACGTGGCTGTCAAAGGTGGTGGTGGCATCAGAAGTCATCATCGTCATTATTATCTCTGCACTGGAGGGTTCTGTGCAAAGGGAATGTGGATACCATGAGAGCCGGAGAGCCGGAGGGTGGTCAGAGAAGGACTGCTGGGAGAGATGAAGTCTGAGTAGACTCGGTGTACCTAACCCAGCCCATAACTTTGGCAGCTTAGGGGACATCTGGTTGGCAGGGCAAGGATGCCCTTCCTTCTGCTGTTAGGCTGACCTGGGTAATTGTATGTCTCTACCTGCCAGGGGTGACTGCTATGACTCTCAAGCTGGCAATCCTGATGACTGTCTTGGGAGCTGTTGGCATAGGTCTGATTTTAAGGAGGCAGAGGGGAAAACGGCGGAGGCAACATAAAGACACCTGGTGGCAAATCAATTACGATGACATCACCATTCTGCCCCAGAACAAGGTGAGGCCACATACAGGCCAGACATCCACTTTTGCGTTCACTGCTGGATAGTTTTGGAGGGCACCTTGTCTAGGAACTTAGGGAAGCAGGAGGCTGGCTCATTTATAAAGGGAGCACTTCACGAGGATGGGAAAAGTGATGGTTCAGTGGGAGAATTCTCCCCTTCCATGCGGGAGACCCAGGTTCGATTCCTGGAAGATGCACTTTTGCAGAGCCACGACCTGTCTGTTGATGGAGGCTTGCGTGTTGCTATGATGATCCACAGGTTTTAGCAGAGCTTCCAGACTAAGACAGACTAGGAAGAAATGTCTGGCTCCCTACTTTTAAAATCAGCCAATGAAAACCCTATGGATCACAACAGTTCAGTCCACAGCTGCTTATGAGGATGGTCCAGGCCTGGGCAGCATTTCATGCCACTGTGCATGTGGCCACCCAGATTCAGGGAGAGGTGTGGGAGGAGTCAACTCCACGGCAGCTGACAACAACACAATAACTTAACGGAGAGTGTGGACACCTGAGTCTGGGTTCCAGGCCTGCCACTTAGTTGCTGAGTATCTCTGGGAAAGTCATTTAACCTCTCTGGGCCTCTGATTGATTTGTCTCTAAAGGTCCCTTCAGCTCTATGACTCTGGGTATAAGAACCTACACATCCTGCTCAAATATTAAAGTGTCTCCTGGGAAGCATTTACTTTCAAAACTACAGGAACTCCTTTAATCCACTGATGACTTGTACAGTTAGCCTCATTTGCTCAATAAATGCTTGTTGAGTATCGACTATAGGTCAAAGCAAGTGCTGGTCATGGGGGTACAACCACAGAAAAGATGGGGGCAAGTTCTCAGAATGGTAAATGACTACATGTCTCCACATCAGGAAGGCTTCAAAGAGGAAGTGGCTTCTGGGGACAGTAGATTTGCTAGATGACAAAAAAGGAGTAATCCAGGGTCTGCCAGGACTTGAGGTGCTCTGAGACTGGAGACTGGGCTGGAAGTTTGACAGGTTCCAAGTCAGGGGAGCTACTAAACCCAGGAGACTGAGAGCTAATGGTAAATCATTTTCAAACATTTCTGGGATTCTGGGACTTGCTGGCCTGGTGTTGGGGGTATTATTATTGTGGTGGGTTTATTGTGGGTGATGGAGGGGGAGGTCACTGAGCTCTTCCCTCTTCAGCCAAAGCAATTCTGTTTCCATCTGTCAGGTTTCTACATTAGGGTTCCACGGAAGATTCTTTTGAAAAACAGGATTCCTCTGCTTTAAAGAAGTTCTCTGATTATGGTTAAGTGTTTTGCTGCCAGCCGGAAGGTCAGCAGTTCAAACCACTCAACGGCTCTGGAGAAGAAAAGACCCAGCAATCTGTTCCCATAAAGATTATTTCCTAGGAATCTCTATAGGACAGTTCTATTCTGTCCTACAGGTCCGTGTGGGTTGGAATTGACTTGATGACACACAACAACTGTTGTAACATAGGTAGGTGTTAATTTAGGAATACGATTCTGGCTCAGGTACAGGTACAGGTAGTTAAGTGGTAGAGCTGGGAGTTGAATCATAACCACTCTACCATCCACAGTGGTCCAGACACCAAGAAGGATGTATGTAGCTGTTAGGCGCTCACAGTTCAGGGTCAGAGAGATCAGGGTTTAAGTTCTGACTCTCCCTTTTATTGACTTTGTAACCTTGGCACTCATTTTCCTCCTCTGTAAAATGTACAGTTCCTTCAATACATGGCTGTGTATTGGATGGTCACCTTGTATCCTGTTTTACAGCCATCCCAGAAAGGCACCCCTGTGTCGAGAAGGAACCACAGTAGCACATCCAGTATGATGATTTTGGAGGACCTCAACTCCTTGGTCAAGAGCCAGCAGGGGGAAGAGCTCTTTTATGCCCCAGTAGGGCTTTACCAGGTACATGTCATGGCAAGAAGGCTGCATGTGGGGCTTAGGGCGTGTCTCTGTCCTGCTCCCTGTGTATGCTTCCTGTGGGGCAGGGTATTCCAAATAGTGGGACACTCTTGACACAGTGGTTAAGCACTCAGCTGCTAACTGAAAGGTCAGCAGTTCAAACCCACAAGCTGGTTTGTGGGAGAAAGCTGTGGCAGACTGTTTCATAAATATGATAGCCTTGGAAATCCTCTGGGACAGTTCTACTCTGTGCTATAGGGTTGCTATCAATTGGAGTTGACTTGATGGCAATAGATTTGTATTGGTTTGGCTTAGTTTCTCCAAGATGATTTTGTGACACCACATCAGTGCTTCTCAAACTTTGATATACATATGAATCACCTGGGGTTCTTGTTAAACTGTAGATTCTGGTTCACTAGGTCTGGGTTGGGGCCTGAGATTCTTCATCCTAACAGACTCACTAGTGATATTTTGAGCAGCAAGCCTTCTAGTCTAGACTTAGCTCTGTCCAACAGACCTTTCTGTAATGATGGAAATGTTCCTAATCTACACCGACCAATATGGCAGCCACAAACCACTAGTTAAGGAAACATGTTGCAACAGTAAAGCACTCAGCTGCTAACCGAAAAATTAGTGGTTTGAACTCACTCAGTGGCTCTGTGGGAGAATGACCTTGCAATCTACTCCTGTAAAGATTACAGCCTAGGAAATGCTGTGGGGGCAATTTGACTCTGTCAAATGGGTCACTATTAGTTGACTCAATGATACCTAACTAAAACAGCCACTAGTCACTGGATGTGCTTTTGAGCACATCCGGTGTGACAGGAATTGAACTGTAGATTTAATTTAAATTGAATAGCTCATGTGGCCAGTGGTATTCCATTGGACAGTGTAGACTTCTACCTTGGCTTATTTCATCCTTAGTTCTTGAGCACGATGGATCACTGATGAATGGTGGCTCAAGGCTTCTGCTGTGTAAACAGTGGCAGGTGTTGAAGCCTGAAGCATAATTCCCACCTGTCTCACCCTCCCTTCCACACCCTCAACCATTAGAATTGCCTGTGCGTATCCAGGGAGCTCTGGTGGCACAGTGGTTAAAGCATTAAACTGCTAACCAGAAGGTCAACAGTTGGAACCCACCAGCTCTTCCATGGAAGAAAGATGAGGCAATCTGCTTCTGTAATGATTTACAGCCTTCGAAACCCTATGGGGCAGTTCTACTCTGTCCTGAACAGTCACTAGGAGTCTGAATTGACTCAATAGCAGTGGGTTTTGGTACTTAGCATTCCTTCAGAAGTTCAAGTCCCCTGCAGGAAAATTATGGAAAGAAAAGAAATCTGTGTTTACTCTTTAAAATTGAGGTCCTAGAGAGAGTAAGGGTAGAAAACTCCAAGCAAGGGAAGATTTGTTCTTTGCTTTAGATTGGGTTCAGCAAAGATTAGAGCCAAATCATTCCCTGTGCAAACTGAATTATTTCTTCTAAATGCTTGTTCATTTGAGTTTCCAAACTAAAAAACCTCCTGGGATATTACTGAATATCATAAGAACTACACTATTTAGACAAAAGTGTGTCTTGTGGCCAACAGCTATTTAGAGAGGGAAGCCAGCACACCCACCACACACATCTCCTTCCCTCCCTCCAACACCATCCTTGGCTTCCCTACCTCTGTGGCCTGCACAATAGTGTTTTCCAAACTCTCTAACAAGGGACTCCAGGCTCTCTGCCGCCTACCCTCAACCTACTTTTGGAACTTCCAAATCCTGCGCTTATCAAATTGGTCTTGCCGGTTATGGCACATATATTTTACTCTCTGTAGGAGCCGTAAGGAGCTCTCATGGTGTAGTGGTTAAGGCACTTGAATGCTAACCAAAGTTTAGTGGATTGAACCCACCAGATGCTCCTTGGAGGAAAGATGAAACAGTCTGTTTCCATAAAGATTTACAGCCTAGGAAACCCAACGGGGGTCACTATGAGTCGTAATTGACTCAGTGGCAGTGCGTTTGGTTTGGAATAGGAGCCCTGGTGGTACAGTGAGTGGTTAAAGTGCTTGGGGGCTAAGTGAAAGGTTGGTGGTTCAAATTCATCAGCCATTGTGTGGGAGAAAGATATGGTAGTCTGCGCCTGTAAAAGGTTACAGCCTTGGAAACCCTACGGGGCAGTTCTTCTCTGTCTTGTAGGGTCACTAGAAGTGGGAATCAACTTGATGGCAGGGGGTTTTTTGGTTTATTTTACTCTCTGACAATGCTATGACTGCTCCCCTTTATCCCACCCATCTGGAACCTTCTTTCCATTCGAGGGTCAGCTTAAGAGTCATTTCTTTCAAGAAGGCTTTCCTTTATCTCACAGGGATCCCTTCCTCCTTGAGACTCCCATCACAGTGGTGTGCCTTTTGTAATTAATCCCAAGATTGGGCAATCTACTGCCTCGGAAACCCAAGGAGGGGTTGTTACAAGTCGGATCTGACTCGATGGCAGTGAATTTGGTTTTTGTTTTTGCCAAGTGCCAGACCTTGGGTTGGTTGATATTTAATGGCATTAAGGCTCTTCTTCTCTCATGTATAGATTCTTTCTCTTCTCCTTCACTTTTTCCACATCATGGTGTGTTTTGGTGGTAACTGATTAAGTGACTGTCTAAAAGCAAACTCTACAGCTAATAATAAGAGATGCCATTTACCAAAAAAATTAATATGTGCTCAGCATCAAGATAATAGTGCTTATTTTAGCTCATTTAATCCTTACAACAATCCAATGAGATAGATATTATTTTTAATCCTAATTTTATAGATGAGAAAATAGAAGTTAGGAGAAGTTTCATCACTTGCTGAAGTTAGGCATGTAGTAAGTTGTAGAGTCGGGCTTTGAACCCAGACATCTCACTCCAGACTTACACTTCGGACTTCAACTCAGTATTTTCTCAGCATGGTAATGAACATTTTTATATGACAGAAACAGGATCATGTGGTGCGATGGATTGCTTTTTTATGGCTGATGATGCTGCTGCCACACTATTTTTATATATAATCTTCACTTACAAACAAACAAACAAACAAACAAACAAAACTAAACTGGTTGCTGTGGAGTAGACTCCAACCCATGACAGCCCCATATTTGTCACAGGGCTTCATAGGGCTTTCAGTGGCTGATCTTTGGGAAGCAGATCACCAAAGTAGCCTTTTCTTTTGAGGCACCTCTGGATGAATTCAAATCACCAACTTTTTGGTTAGCAACTGAACAATTAACCCAGGGACTTCAGTCTTGGAGTGAGATGCTCAAATTCTGGCTATTGTTTGCTGCCTACACATCTGTGATTTAGACATGATCCCAACTGGAAATGCACTAATCATATCCACCCTGCACAGCTGTGATGCCAGTTAAATACTATTTTTTTTTCAATTTAGCACCTAGTACAGTGCCTGTTTTGGGGTGGTCCAAACATTTATCATGCTCAGCTGCTAACTGAAAGGTTGAAGGGTCGTGTCCAGCCCAGAGGTGCCTTGGAAGAAAGGCCTGGTAATCTACTTCCTAAACATCAGCCATTGAAAACCCTGTGGAGCACAGTTCTGCTCTGACACATGTAGAGTGGCCAGGAGTCACAACTGACTGGCTGGCAATGGATAGCACAGTGCATGGACATAGCCCAGGGCCACCAGAGGGGTTGGTTTGGACAGAGAGGCACTTGGTGAACCCTCACACATGGACTTCCTGCCAGTCTTCCTGCTCCCTCTCTTAGCCCTCTCTGGGTGAAAATTTCTCTGGATTGTCCGGGATTAAGAACACTCTGCTTTGTCTCCTGTTCCAGGGAAACCACGTGGCCATTCACTATGTTGATGAGCAAGGTGACGCCTGGATTAGGAAGTCATCTGTATTGCAGGAAATCCGGCTGGTGAGGCCCCGCCCCTGTGCTCCTGCCCAACCTTGTTCCCACCTCTGAGGAGTGGCTCCCACCCTCAAGGAGTAAGGATGGGAACTGTTTCTTGAACGTGGTGCTCAACCTACCTTTCTCCACTGACAGGCCAGATTTTGGATCTCAGATTCTTTGGCGCCTGAAGTCTAGGATCCCTGCCAGCCTTGCTCTTCTTCCCTTAATCCTTCCTGGTCTTAGTTTTGGCCCTTAATCCTCTGTATTTCTGATGGCTGCTCACCTGCTTTGAACCAGAACCTTGGAGAGAGTCAAGTTCATGAGATCTGACTTCTTGCTCTATGTCTACTATCTGTCATGGTCCACACACTGACATTGACAGCCATAAATAGCAAGATGAAAAGCTAGGTCTACCCTTTGAGATATGTCTAGTGAATACATAAGACTAAGGTTAGACTTTGATCATCGTCTGGTTTGTTTGAGAGCGGTAGATTACCTAGGTTTACATTCCAGCTCTGTCACCTATAAGCTGTGTGCTCTTAGATAACTTACTTTACCTCTCTGAGCATCAGTTTCTCCCTCTGCAAAATGAGAGCAATAATAGTTCTTATCTCACAAGGTAGTTGTAAGAATTAAATGAGAGAAAGGGTATGAAACACATAGCATAGTTCTTGGCATGGAAGATGTACTTTATAAACATGAGCTGTTATTGCCATTATTATTTTCAGATGTGTGAGTTAAAACATGACAACATTGTTCCTTTCTTTGGTATTTGCATGGAATCACCCAACATCTGCATTGTCACCCAGTATTGCAAAAAAGGAAGTCTGAAGGTAAGCAAAATAGTAAATCTTACCTCAGGTTTGATCAGCCTCAAATCATATGGAATCCTAGCAGCTCTTTTCCCTGTTGGTCTAAGGATAGCTCCTCTCTGGTCTAATTGTAAGATCTGAATTATCCTGTTAGACTTCCTGCAGGGGATCAAATTAGCAGCTGTGTTGCCATGTGTCTGGTTCTCTTTGTTCTGGGTGGAAACTGTCTGAGCTTGGTTTCATCTCCTAAGATGTCATGGCTACTCTTGAATTATGGTCTTGGACCCATCCCATACAAGGTACGTGACAATCAGTTTTATATCAGGAGCAAGGAAATGTTCGTAAATCCCAAGCCTGTGTGTTTTCTCAATATTGAGTCAGTGTATGGTACAGAGATCTTGGAAAGGTTTCTGTTACTAGATTAAGACAGCTCTGCCTCACATGATATTGTTGTTGTTGTTGTTGTTATGTGCTTAGTTCTGGTCAAAAATATCTGATTCAAGTCCATTCAATGTATGAAGCTCACTGTGCTTTGGGTTGAGTCACTGGTGATAATTTGAATAACCATTTTTCAGGATGTTTTGAGAAATGCAGATATTGAAATGGATTGGATCTTCAAGCTCTCATTTGCATATGACATAGCCAATGTGAGTATAACTTAAGCTTAGTTAAAGAATGAATTTCATAGTGTTTCTGAGTTGTTCTTTGTCTTGGATTAAAATCAAGCTGTAATCTTTTCTGAAAATTCTCATCCTCCTACCTCCTCTGTAAACAAAAGGACTCCGGCTCTAAAATCTACCACTTTAATCAGATTTTCCATGCCTTTCTTCCTCTCTGATTTCAAATAAGAATTGAGAGAGGAAAGCATTTTGCACTAAAGTTAGAATAGGTACTAGGTTACCCAATCAGTAAAGAGCACGGTATTTACATTTTGGGGTAGGATTTTTTTTCATCCCAAACAGAATATAATTACTAGACCATGAAGTGAGATGGGAAGGGGAGAGTCCTAATAGTCCAGAAAATGAGTGTCCGTGCCACAGTGATCACAGTGCTGTTAACCTCAGAGGTGGGCTATGAACGCAGGTAGAAGGTTTACTTCGGGCCAAGAGGGCTGTGGTGGCTACAAGGAAGAGGATAATAATAATAATAGTTACAATATATTTAGTGCTGACTTTGGGCCTGGCACTGTCTAGCACTTTGTATGTATTAATTTATTTGCTCCTCATAAGAAAATGTAAGGCTGATCTATTATTATCTTCAGTTCATGAGGGGAAAATAAGGCACAGAGAGTTTAAGTAATTTTTCTGCTGTCTCATAGCTAATCATAGCTCATAGCTCATTAATGGTGGAGCCAGGATTTGAACTAGGCATTTTTGAGTCCTACTCCCTTAACTACAACGTAACACTGGCATCCCTAGGTGGTGCTCTCTTGACATCAACCTCCTTGTACATACAATGAATGCAGTTGAACTGATTGACATTGGAGGGTTGTTTTCCTTCAAGGTAATAAATGCCCTTGTTTCTAAAGAGCTGAATCTTAGTGGCCTTGGGACACTTTATTTTCTAGGCCTAGTGAGAAGCCAGCATGTTGTTACCAAGCAAGGTAGACAAATAGAAACCTCTCTGCGATTGGGTCTCCATGGCAACCCTGGGCCTCTCCCATCATTTCTTCAATAAACCTTCACCGAGCATTTATTTAAGGTTTATCCTAGTCTGGGCATTTTTGTAGGAAAATAAAGGCTTGTTTCTGGCTGTGAATGGCTTAAAAATCTAGATACTCAAAACAAACAAACAAACAAACAAAAAAACTCACTGCTGCCAACCAGATCTGACTCATAGTGACCCCTCCTTGGGTTTCCAAGTATTTCTACCGAAGTAGATTGCCCAACCTGCCTTCCGAGGAGTGGCTGGTGGGTTTGAACCACCAGCCTTCTGGTTAGCTGTCAAATGCCTTAGGCACTAAATTATTTGTGCCCTCCAGGGACCTTTACAAGGGGTACAGATGTGGGAATTAGAGGTAGGGACCCTGTGAGCCTCCCTCAACTTTCCAGTAGAGAAAGAAACGTAATTAGCAGATACATGATCAAACTGTCAAAAGTGCATGAAATCTGCTGCATGAGTTGTGAAACCCCTTGTTCTATTTGCTCTCTGACAATTGTTGTTGTTGTTGTTGTTATGTGCCGTCGAGTCAGCCCCGACTCATAGCGACCCTGACTCATAGCGACCCCTCCTTGAGTTTCTGAGGCAGTATCACTACGGAAGTAGATTGCCCCATCTTCCTTTCGAGGAGTAAAAAATCATCCACTGTCAAGACAGAAGATACAAAGAGCTGCTGGCCGTCTCTTGGAGAGGCCCACACACCTGAGGATTCTGTGTATGTCCTCAAGCATGTTGTTTGTACTGTGAGGGACTGAAGTCCTGGTGGGCCTGGCACTGCCCACCGCAGGGAGGGAAGCAGAGTGATCTGGTGTGTGTCAGCAATGGTCCATGACCCACTCTGGCTGTCTTGGCCCCAGATTCAGAGGCAAGCTTTAACTGGGGATTGCAGCTGCCTTGTGTTTGGTGAGAGGTCTCCATGAGATCACAGAGGACTTCCTGCTCAGACATGGCTCTCACCAGACATCAGGCCCTGACCTTGACCTGTTGGAGCTTGGCTGGGGACATTCCAGAGGCAGCCTCCACCAAGCCCCTCCAGCCCGATCTGTGAGTGGCCTGCCCCACTCACTCCAACCAGGCACTTCTGTCGGGTTCGGCTAAGTGGTCTGTGTTCTCCATGTGTGATTCAGCTTTACTCTTTCACAAACATAAAAGCCACACTGATACAGGAAGATGGCTTTCTGGTTTTTATTTATTTATTTTGGAGAGGCGGCAGGGGTGAGGGAGGGGTGCATGTGCACTGTCCTGGACATTTCCTCATTGCATCTGTGTTTCAAATGCATTACTGCCCACAGGGCTCTTGCTAGGGTGAGACAGTGACTCAGCCTTAGGACTGTTAGAGGAAGAGGCAAGTCCTTGAGCTGGTGCCCAAGAGGCCAAGAACTCTGTCCCGTGTGCATGGCCAACTCAGGACGCCCTCCTCACATCCTCGTTCCTGTACATCCTCAGAGCCACACCCATGGGTGACTTCAGGCCTCCTTCTCAGCTGGGTTTGTGATTCATATGAACCTGACTGTTCTTGTTTAATAGTGTTGGTAGAGCATAACTTTGACCTGCCCTCCTCTCCCTCCCCTGCAATCACCCAGGGGACAGACAGGAAACAGTAAGATCGAGTGGTTTAAAGACGCTGGGCTTCACAGGCAGTCCAAGTTGGGTTTAAATGTCAGCCACCCAGTCTTTGGGAGCAATTAAAAATTCTAGGTGCCTGAAACCTAGGAAACAGGGAATGAAAATATCGAAACACCCATTAGTTGTCAGGCTGACTCTGACTCATGATGAGCCCACGTGTGTCAGACAGGACTTTCTATGGCTGATTTTTGGGAATTGGTCACCAGCACTGTCTTCTGAGGCACTTCTGGGCGAACCTCCAAACTTTCAGTGAGCAGCTGGGTGCACGGACCTTTTCCATCACGCAGGGACTCCTGTGCCATATATAACCTGCAGTGTATGTGAGTCCTTTACTGAGGTTGCAGTGTTGGAGCCCAGGCACAGGTGTTATTTCTAAAGCCCTCCAGGTGACTCTAATAAGTGGTCGTCAGGGCTTCTCAGACTGCAAAGGCACATGAATGCCCTGGGGTCGTATCAAAATGCAGAGGCCAGTTCAGTAGGCCTGCGGCAAGGCCTGAGATACTGAATTTTTGTCAAGTTCCCATGCAGGTCCCCAGGCCAGCCTTTGAGTAGCAGGAGTCCGGGCAGTCTCAACTCACAGGTGGGAAAATCGAGGGCTAGTCAGGTGAGCTCACTTTGCTTGAAAGGACTTACTGGCAAAGTTCACACTTACGCACACATCTCCTGACTCATATTCTTCCTGCCCCATTATATACAGTGGCACATCATCATTATGGAATAATAATTGTATATCACCCCTCAAGAACACAGTAGAAGACATAAGAATTTTTCAATGTTCTTTATTTCATTGCCTTTCTGTATGAAGTGCTGAAACAGGACCTTTAAGTGCGTGCAATAATATATAATTAATAATAAGGCATTTGGCTGCTAACCAAATGGTTGGTGGTTTAAACCCACCAGCTGGTCCATGGAAGAAAGATGGGGCAGTCTGCTTCCATAAAGATTTACAGCCTTGGAAATCCAACAGGGGTCACTATGAGTTGGAATCAACTTGATGGCAGTGAGTTTGTTTTGTTTTGTTTTTAGGTAATAAAATAATATTCTTAATTGTATAGTATTGTTTATGTATTGATATTTATTATATTTATACTTTCATCATATTCATGTTTTTTCATTATAATTTATATTGGGTATTTACTATGTACCAGATTCCATGTCTGGCAGATCACATATATTGTCAGGTTTAAGATCCAATGAGGTAGGTATTATTGCCACCTCTGTTTTGATAGGAAAAATGAGACTGACTGGAGTAAAGTTACTTGCCCTCTGCTAAGTGGCAGAGCTGGGATTTGAACTGGGGAGTAGGACCACTAGGATGTCTTCATTGTAAGCTGGCCATGCCTTCTTGGCTTCATACTGAATGTCCAGAAATAAGTTTTCTCCTTTTTTGATGTCCCTACTCCATTGAGTAGGAGATCTGGTAGCATAATGCCTAAGGCACTTGACTGCTAACCAGAAGGCTGGCAGTTCAAACCACCAGCTACTCCTCGGAAGGAAGGTTGGGCAATCTACTTCCGTAGTGATACTGCCTCGGCAACATAAGGAGGGGTCACTATGAGTCGGGTCCCACTCCACGGCACATAACAACAACAACAACAACAACAACGACTCCATTGAGTAAGGAGCTCTGGTGACTCGGCACCTAAGGCATCTGACTGTTAACCAGAAGGCTGGCGGTTCAAACCCACCTGCCATTCTGCTGAAAGAAGACCTGCAATCTCCTTCCATAAAGATTTACGGCCTCGGAAATCCCTTGGGGGTTGCTGTGGGTCGGAATGGACTGGAAGGCGGTGGAGTTACTTCACTGAGTGTGGCTCTTAAACAAGGGAGCACAGAGAGGCGCGCGCCGTGCGCCCGGGCTGTCTGCCTGCGTCTGTCTCCCCCTGCCCCCTGCCCTTGTGTCCATCCGCAGGGTCCAGGGCACCTGCCGGACTCCACGGGCTCGCTTTCACTCTTCCAGGGCATGCTGTTTCTCCACAGGAGCCCCCTGAGATCCCATGGCAACCTGAGGCCTTCCACCTGCCTGGTGGACGGGCGCATGCAGGTGAAGCTGTCAGGCTTCGGGCTGTGGACGCTCAAGTGCGGAAGGACAGATAGGACATACAATGACAGACGCACTGACGATTCAGGTAACCGTCGAAAGTTGTGAGTTAGTCACGGGCACGATAGTGCGTCCTTCCTGTTTCCTTGGTTTACACATGCGGACCCTCCTTGCCCTTGAACTCAGGCATTCTCAAGGCCGATTTCTCCCTGCGGATGCTTTCGCTTTTCCTGCTTCCTGAGGCAGAAGGGGCGGCGTTTCCGGCTGTGCATGGCTGCTGTCACTCCCGCGCCGCCCTGTTGCTTTGCAGAGCTCTACTGGACGGCCCCAGAGCTGCTGCGGCTCCTGGAGGCGCCCTGCGCGGGCACCCCAAAGGGGGACGTTTACAGCTTTGGGATTCTGATGAGGCAGCTGATCCACCACCAGGACCATGGGCCTTTCGACGACCTCAACGCTGGACCCAAAGGTAACGCTGGGACAGGCTCGTGGGAGGCTTTGGCCTTCTGAGCTGGCTTTTAAAGCCCACTTTTGTTAATTGTTTCATTAAGTGCTTATTAATTTACAATTTATTCCATTCTTATGTTTTATTTTTAAAATTCTTATTCTTTCTAAATTAGAAAACAAATTGCATTTTGGTTTCAAACAAATAGAGGAGGCTCACCAATTTGGCTAAGGACGCAGAATATGGTGGCAGCGTTTATTATGTGTTACAATAACTTATATAACAGGTTATGTGGAATGCAGTATTGCGTAAAGTATCCTTTCGGAATTCCCAGCACCAAATGCTTATTCATTCCTAAAATCTCTAGGGTTGCTATGAGTCACAATCAACTTTTTTTTTTTTTTTTAAATTAGATAGAGGTATGCTTTTTCCTCTAAGAAAAGTGGATCTATTGGAACGAAAAAAATAAAAAATTTCTCCCAAAACAGATTAATTAGGGGTTGCTTATTTGCTTTACAAGGGACCCAGGTGGCACAGTGGTTAAATACTTGCCTATCAACCCAAAGGTTGGCAGTTCAAATCCACCAGCCTTTCTGCGGGAGAAAGTGTGGCAGTCTGCTTCCATAAAGATTACAATCTTGGAAACCCTTTGGGGGCAATTCTACTCTGTCTTACAGGGTCGCTATGAGTCGAAGTCGACTCCATAGCAATGGGTTTGGGTATTTGCTTTATGTCAGGATTCTTCGTTTTTCAGGAGGATTTTGAATATTTCTCTTAAAACGTCCAGATGACTCTGAAATCCTAGTCTGCTTCAATTTACTTAAAAATTTAATTTACAAGCTCTAGGAGCTCAGGTATTCAAACTAAGGCCAAAATGAATTTCAGAAATCATCAACCAGATCAAATACCCTGCAGCAGTTCCACTGAGACCCTCCCTATCAGCGGAGAAGGGCAATGACAGTGTCCTGGGCATGGTGAGGGCATGCTGGGATGAGTCTCCTGAGAAAAGACCCACTTTCTCTTCTGTCAAGAAAACTCTGCGAGAAGCCAGTCCCAAAGGGTGAGTTAGATGTGCAACAGGTAGTGTTCCTGTAGTCATGTGATCATGAGAATTTTAAAACTGTGGTGGCCTGTGATTGGTGCCAAGCCAATGGTTCAGTGCATTCATCCACTCATTATATACTCATTCACGGCCTACCATATGCAAAACACTGTGTTACATGCTGGGTAAAGTGGAGTCATAAATTCTCCCTTCATTTCACAAATATTTTTAAAAAGCACCAGGCATAAATGCTTCCACTGCCTTCCTTTGTTCATTTCAGACATCACTAATCAATCAAGGTGATCTTTCCCAGGCAGTTTTGACATGGCCTCAAGATCTTTTCCAGCCAGCATTCAAAGAATCATGAGTAACCAGTTGGAATTGGACTGTGGGATGAAGATTATTTACCAACCTTAGAGTAGATTATTGGCTTAAATTATTCATGCGTCTTTGGAGTAGCTTGCTTCCCATGATAATTACCTCAGTCTCCTTTTCTAAAAGCTAGTTTAAATTATTTCTCTGAAGACCCCTCAAACAATTTATAGGATCTGAAAGCACCTTGTACCTTGGACAATCTGAACAGCTTTGAATGACTTGTCCTGAATTCTGTCAGTTTTCAATTGGTTATGACAGTGGTCTGGAGTGTAGAGGTGTATGCTGGCAGGGCCAGTGATGGCCACCATTTGTTGAGTGCCTGCGGGGTGGGTGCCAGACATGGAGCTAGTTAGGCACTTTATATACATCATCTCCCAGAATTCTCCAAACAACCCTGTCAGGTATGTGTTATTTCCCCCATTTTCCAGATGAGCAAATTAAGGCACGGAGGAATGAAAGGTGCTGCCCAAGATCGTAGAGCTGGCAGCTGGCAGACTCTGTCCTGCAACGTGGCCCGATTGTCATTGTAATCTCACTGCTGTATGTTGGCAACCCTAAAGTAGGAAACCTTAAGGGTGTGAGATGTTTCTTGGAATGAGCAGCTGGCAGTTCTGGTCCACTGTGGCCCTAAAGTTCTTGGAAAAAGAACATTAATGTCTTGGTTCTTTTAAAGCCACGTGAACATACTAGACAGTATGGTGAGCAAGCTGGAAGTGTATGCCAATCACCTGGAGGAGGTGGTGGAAGAGAGGACTAACCAGCTGATGGCAGAGAAGAAGAAGGTGGAAAAGCTTCTGGCCAAAATGTTGCCCAGGTATTCCAAAGCCTTGTGGGAATAATAGCACCACCTAAAACGCCCCACAAGGAAGGAGTATTTCCTTTTCTATTTTCCTAACATGATGTGGGCTCTTCTCAAAGAGGGCAATTGTTTTGTGTGTCATTTGATAAACTCTGTAAAGAGAGAAAGGCGAGAGTCCTAGAATCCATGGATGTAGACAATGCAACATCTCTTACATAGATGGTGGATGTAGCAACCTAAGTATTACCACTAGATGGTGCTCTAGTTTCATGAGTCTGACTCATCATTTGCGCCTCAGTATTTGATTCTCCAAAAGCTTTGCACAATACGGCGTGCACTGCACTTATGACTGCAGACTCAAACTTGTTCCATTTGGGTTCCGTTTTTTGCTTGTGTACCCTCTCAATACTTGGCAGAAGCATTTTCTATTTACACTCCTGTACTCTTCTTCTACATCCTGACAAAAGAGGTGAAGAGGGCTTGAATGTGTTAATGTGCTACTGGTTGACTGAAGCAAAAATAGTGGTTTCTAGATCAGTGAATGATTCCATTTGTTTCCATATTGGCAGACTGAGTCTTTACAATCAAACTCTATAACTAATAGAGGAAAATACGATGCCTTTGGGAGAAAATCCCTTTAGTAAATGTGTTTATGTAACTATCCTTCTCCCCACTTTATACCCACCACTTCAAATATCTCCACGGAGAAAATACAGCTGGAGAGATAGAAGTCAACAGAATCCCTCTAGGTGATGAATTTTGTTACTCAAACACCAAATCCATTAAAGCAAAGAGATCTGAGGTCAACTTTGGGGGGGCCTGGAAGACAGAAGGTCCCTGGGTGGAGGAAACAGTTTGAGATTGGCACTAACATAAAGGTTGGCAGTTTGAACCCAACCAGTGGTACTGTGGAAGACAGACCTGGTGACTGGCTTCCATAAAGATGATAGCTAAGAAACCCGGTGGAGCAGTTCCACGATGTGACACATGGGGTCTCCACGATTGGAAGCAAATTGACACCATTGGTTTGGGTTTTTTTGGTAGGAAAAAGATGAATACAATGCTGTTTTTTTTTTTTTTTTTTTTAAAAAAGGAACATTTTCTCTGGTTTCAGCTTCATTGGAGAACAGCTCATAGCTGGAAGGTCCGTGGAACCAGAACACTTTGATTCCGTGACAATCTTTTTCTCCGACATTGTTGGATTCACAAAACTGTGCTCTCTCAGCTCCCCCTTGCAAGTTGTAAAGCTCCTCAATGACCTGTACAGCTTATTCGATAATGTCATTAAAATGTATGACGTATATAAGGTGAGCTGCTTGCTTCCCGGGTTGTGAGGTAGCATGTGCCCCTTGCGGGCCGGTTTGGGGCTTGAGTGAGGAGGAACCTGGCCTGGGCGTTAGGCACCAGGAAGCCTCTGTTCCAGGCTGGCAGTCCATCTCAATTCATGACAGAAACTCAATATCTTATTCCTGTTTGTTTTCTTGGAAAAGGGCTTGATTAATCAGAGATTCATGGGCTTGTCAGGGATCACCAGTTAGTTCTTATGTTCCTTCCATTATTTTATCTGATGGTGACATTTCTAAAAGGTGTTGACCTTCTGCTGGCTAATTCCTGCCCTCCCTTCCTGAATTAATAAATGTTCTTCAGATTCAGAGAGACCCATATTTTCATTCCTTTAAAGGCTGTCTTTGGATTTTATATGGGTCTCATTTCTCTTATGATGCTTAGCAATTCAAGGTGAGGATAGACCTGCAATTTTAGCCTCTCAGACCCATGGCTAAAGATGATGCAGCAAACTATCACCTACCAGTGCATAGAGTGAAAAAAAAAAAAAGATTTTTTTTTTGTGGGGGGCGGGGGAGTACTAAAAACAATAATAATTTGGCTTCATTAAAGATAAATTCTCTGCTAACCAACAGAAGCAAGTGGTGGTGATATTGGCTGCTTTGTGTGCTTTCTAGCTTTTCACATGGAGTCAGGTCATGACTCCAGAGCCAATAATGTGTGCCCACACTCAAGCATGCCTTTTGTCAAGTGTATTTGTCCACACAAGTGATCCCAGGGCTCTGCCTCTGCTGGTGACCCTCAACAGGGAGATTTAGGGGACAGTAAGGTCGTGTCCCTAGGTGACACGTCTTCAGTAGTTATCCCCCAGTGTTCCCCACAAATGTTCCCCTCTCTTCTAGGAGGAGAGAAGTGATGATATGGGGAATTCCAAGCAGCAGATCACACATACCAAGCAAACTCCACACCTGTCCTGCTTAGGAAGGCATTCTCTGGGTTTCCTCCTCAGTATTATGTTCTCAGCATCCCTGGGTGGTGTGATTGGTAATGCACTCAGCTGTTAACTGAAAGACTGGAGGTTCGAGTCCACTCAGAGTCACCTGAGAAGGAAGGCCTGGCCGCGTACTTCCAAACAACCAGCCATTGGGAGCCCTGTGGGGCATAGTTCTACTCCAACATGTGGCGTCGCCAGGAGTTTGAGTCAACTCGATGGCAACTAGTTTATTATCTTCTCGATTGTGTGTTGCATGAGCTAATCTTAGTTTATATTCCTAAAGGACGTTCTCAAGGAAGTGAGTTGGACTTGTGTATAGTTGACTTTGTGTAATTTCAGGGTCAGTAGAAGAGGCAGACATTTCTACTGCCTGGTTGGAGCCTAAAATTCTACCACTACCACATCATCTTTCAGTTCTACTAAATGCAAATATACCTGCTCCTGCTAGTCCTTGCTGACTCCGTTGTGAATGGACCAGACGGTTGATTATAGGAGGGTTGGTGGAAAAGAAGGCAGAGCAGGCAAATACATTTGTACACACAAAACCCAAAAACCCATTGCTGTTGAGTCAATTTTGACTCATAGGCAACCCTCTAGGACAGAATAGAACTGCCCTGTAGGGTTTCCAAGGCTGTAATCTTTATGGGTACGGACCGTCACTTCTTCCTTCTGTGGAGCTACTGGGGAGAGTGAGCTGCCTGCCTCTCAGTTAGCAGCCAGTCTCCTTAACTACTGCACTACCATCCACCAAAAACCCACTGCCATCGAGTCAATTCCAACTCATAGCAACCCCCATTGGGTTTCCAAGGCTGTAAATCTTCCTCCTGTGGAGCAGCTGGTGGGTTTGAACCACCAAATGGTTAGCAGCCAAATGCCTTACCCATTACACCACCAGAGCTCCTTACTGCACTACTGGAGCTCTTTACTCAAACACTTGCATAAACATATATATATATATATATATATATATATATATATATATATATACACACACACACACACACACACACATACAGAAGAGCCCTTATGTGAAGTAAGGATATTTCACATTGGGTTCCTCTTGATTTACCTGGTCCTTCAGTTTACCTCTCAGCACACTGCTGCCTGTCTCATTGTCCTGAGCTTGGGTTGGGGAGATATGGTCACCACCACTCTAAGATTTCAGCGGAAGAAGCAAGCATCTGTGAGAAGAGGGTTCAGGAATGAAAGCTTGTGGAAGAACTAGAACAAGAGCAGAAACTTGAGAAAAACTGGGACTTGAGTGAGGTGGAGGTGATAGAATGTGATCTTCAAAGTATGGGTGGCAGGGGTCCCTTGACCCTCCAACCCCCAGAGAACTTGAGGCCACCTTCTTGCTTTCTTTTCAGGTTGAAACCATTGGGGATGCATACATGGTGGCCAGTGGACTTCCCATCCGCAATGGAACCCGGCATGCGGATGAGATCGCCACAATGTCCCTGCACTTCCTCAGTGCCACTGTCCGTTTCCAGATTGGGCACATGCCTGAGGAGAAGCTCAGGCTCCGGATTGGTCTCCACACAGGTAGGTAGCACTGATGGCAGGCTGGCCTTATGATCTAGGTGTGGCAATACATAGTCCTGAGTTTGAGTCCTAGCTCCAAGACTTTTAAGAACCCTGATATTGAATGGCAACATCTCCACTAGAAACAAAGAGTTGAATTGTCTTTGCATGTGTATTTCCAGTTAGCCAGATTGCTTGATAAAAACCAGGACACACAAAGACTATAAAGTGTCAAGCCAAAATAAGGATGAGACCAAAATCCAGGACAGTTGTTTTGGGCAGCTGTTCCTCTATGCCTCTGCCTTGAATGCCCTTTGATCTGTTCTGCTTTTGACAAATTCCTACCAAGGGCAGGTTTCATGGGCACATGACCTGTATAGAACTGTCCTGCACTTAATTTAATGCTCTGCTGTCACTGTCTTGAAATTCTTACTCATTTTTGAACAAAGATCCCACATTTTCATTTTGCACTGGGCCCCAAAAGTGTTGTAGCCTGTCTTGCTCCTAGCTATATCCTCCAAGGCTCAACAGAAGTTAAAACCTGATCCCCAATCAGAATTAATTACTCTCATGTTTGTGCCACTGTTGACCTTGTTAGATTTCTAGTGCATGAATGACATATTATCATTAATCGTTTATGTGAATTTCCACCCCATCTTTTTACCCTAAGGCTATTGCCAAGCATTGCCCCAAGAAGTGCTTAACAAATAGTTCTTGAATTGTGTCAGTTGACTTGATGGGCATGGAGCATCCAGCCCTTTGGAAATGCCAGCTGGTTATACCCTTTGATTCTTCACCTCACAGGTCCTGTGGTGGCTGGTGTGGTGGGAATCACCATGCCCAGATACTGTCTGTTTGGAGACACTGTGAACATGGCGTCCAGAATGGAAAGCAGCAGTTTGCGTAGGTGTCGCTTACAGCACCTTGCAGACATGATATTGTTGTCCCTCTAGTCCCCTATCTTTAACCAGAGAGTTATTTATAGAAGTTGCATTTGGATTTTGTCTATCTTTCTCCATCTGGAGGGTAAGAACATTAGCTACCTCAGACAGCACTGATCACAAGGTTGGTAGAGAGGGTTTACCACTATGTCCTCCCAGAGCCGTGTAAACACATGCAGTGCCCTTCTTCCAAGACGCTCCATTCTAACCAGTCAGGCACACATAGAGTAAAATCCTTTTCCTGTTGAACAGAAATGGCGATTTTCTTCTGTAAAGGGTCACATAGTAAATACTTTCAGTATTACGGGCCATATGGTCTCTGTCACAATGACTCAACTGTGCCATTGTAGCACAAAAGCAATCATAGACAATATGTAAATGAATAGGCATGGCCATGTTCCAATAAAGCTTTATTTACAAAAGTAGGAGTTGAGCTGGAGTTGGCCTGTGGGTCATAATTTACCGATCCTTGATATAGATTATATTCTTGATTATGCAGAAGAAATCTATGGCCAGGAAGTCCAGGCAACATCACTTTCTTTTGCTTTATAGTAATTTTATTGCACTGAGTATTGCTAGACACAAGTAGCCATTTATCAACTGAAGCATGGAAAAATACTCAGTGGTTTAAGTTGCAGAGAATTTAGGTAAACATTCTTTTGAATTTGTAAATTCCCCACAATATATTAAAAAAAAACAAGTTTTCCCACTTCTTATTACTTAATGTTTCAGCTAATCAACCAAGTCCCAAACCCAGATGGGAATCTCCCCTTTGGCTTGTAAGGAAAGATTTTCAGGTTAAATTTTGACAGTGGCGCTGCTTCTGTAGCTGAATCCAGTTGCAGTTCTGGTTACAAACATTTTCAGAAATATGTCCCAGCTTTGCCGGCAGCATCACAGGCAGCCTTTCTTCTCACTGAAATCAGAGGAGGCCAGTTATCTCCATCCATGGGAAGTACGAACTTGCAAGCTGAGTCAGTTCTTCCTTCTGTTTCTATACTGAATATACTGAAGCTTTAGCAGCACCACACAGTGTGTGATCAAGGCCTCGGTAACTGGGGCACTCAGCCCAGGGATCCCAGACTTAAAGATTTTCTTAATAAGAAGTCCTGGTGATCTGGAATTTGAACAGTATAGAGTTCCCTCTCCAAAGCCTCCCATCCCATTGATTCTCATGTGAAAGTCATGATCAAGGCAATGATGACTAGGCAACGACTGATTTATGGCAGCTCTCCGGATTCACGTCTCTCAGAGTACCGCAGACGCCCTGCTGGCATCGGGAGGGTACGATTTGCAAAAGAGAGGCACCATTCCAGTCAAGGTAAGACCAGGCCAACTGTACCCCTCTTTCCCCATTTGGGTCTCTGATGGAGATGTCAAGGAACTTGGCTGCATGCATGAATCACTCCTTATAGTGGTGGACAGAGACCAATAAGGTCCACCCCTGGAGGCTGTCATGACTGCCAGGTTTCCTTCTGGATAGGAGTGTGTAGTATCCCCAAACGGTCAAACACAGAATCTGTGATGCAGAATACGTAGCTACCGCCGAGCCCAGACTCTGATAGGAAGCTTCCTGTCTTTCTGCCACAAGTGGCTCCCCAGCTTCTGATTAGATGCCCACAGTTCAGTCCCTTAACCAAAATTCAGTCCTGAGAATGACAGTGCCCACCTTTCTTTCTGTGTCCCTTCACCCACGTCTCAAGTGTCCAGGTAAAGGAGACCGAAATCGACTGGTTTGGGCTTGAAGGTGCTGGGACCTTATCTCTGCACACTTAATGACGTATAATTATCTTCCTTTTCCCTCTGCCTTCTTCTCCACTGTGGCCTGCAGTCTGTAACTGAAATGGATCATAGAGCATTCTCATCTTTCTGATAAACATTACCCGTTCCCTAGGGCAAAGGGGTGCTTCTCTTGAGGACAGATCTGTCTGGGAGATGCTCATGCAAGTTCCTTAGGATAAATTCCTTCATCCAGCCCTTTTCCTCCACCATGGAAGTGATGGAGTCATTACTATGATACTGGATATTTGGGTGTGTGTGGGGGGGTCTGGAGAAGAGAAATTAAAGGGGAATTTACTTAGCCTGGCCCTGGTATGTTGTTGTTGTTATGTGTCATCGAGTCGGACCCGACTCATAGTGACTCCTCCTTGGGTTTCCAAGGTGGTATCACTACGGAAGTAGATTGCCCAGCCTTCCTTCCCAGGAGTGGCTGGTGGGTTTGAACTGCCAGCCTTCTGGTTAGCAGTCAAGTGCTGGTATATTGCATTGGATCAAAGGACTTCAGGTCGTGACAGCAGTGTAGACCTGGCTTTAAATCCTGTCCCTCCACTTACTAACTGTCTGATTTGACATTTGGTTTTGTCAGCTGTAAATGAGGATGATAACACTGTCCTCAAAGGGTAGTTATGAGGATTAAATGTGAACATGTATAGGAGGCACTTCTAGGTGGTAAGAGCCAATGACACTAATGTTTGTGGAAAGGAAAATTTAAAAGTACTAATAAAATCAATTGAACTCTTACCACCTAGACCATCACTAACTGCTTAGCTTATCAGCAATGCCCAAGAAAATCACTAAGAGTCCATCTATAATGATGCCTTTTGCTTACTGAGTCCCTGGGTGGTGCAGACGATTAAGAAGGGTTTGCACTTGAAATCCACCCAGAAGTTCCTCAGAAGAAAGTCCTGGAGATCTACTTCTGAAAAATCAGCCACTGAAACCCCCACGGAGTGGCATTCTACTCTGACCCTTATGGGGTTGCCATGAGTTGGAGGTGAAGTGATGGTAACTGGTTGGTTCCCTCACTGAGGTAGTTCTGCTGTCGTAGAGAGTAGGGGAGCATTGAGGTGTCTGCTCAGAGGCTGCGCTTCCCAGACAGCTTCCTCTCTCTGACACACTAATGCCTTCCACTGTCCCCACAGGGCAAAGGGGAGCAAACAACTTTCTGGTTAAAAGGCAAAGAAGGCCTCACTATTCTGCTCCCTGAATTCACTGAGGATGAAGGTCAAGTCCCTGAGATCTTCTGAGGTGAGTATCTTCCTCAGAGGTCTGTGGGATGTCATGTGAAGGTCTGCGGGAACTATTTCTTTGGAATCTGTGATATATCCACTTCAGGACTGTGGTTAGGGGGTATTGAGTCAGCCTCCTGCTGTGGGAAGCCATCTAGGTGGCCACCTCTTCCCACCCTAGGGTTTGCTCCCAGGCCTGTGGCCTAGAGCAAATGTGGGCTTGGCTGAGCTGGACATGAAAAACTCCCTTCCTGGGGGACCAGCGGTAGCCTGTTGCTCCCAGCTCTAGGGGACTGCTATGTTCATCGGCCAGTGAGCCTGCCCAGCTGCCAGATATGTCCAGCCCTTTGGCTTGTGAACACAGTTTTATTCCTGGTGAGAGAAAGTGGGAGAACGAGTCTGAGACTCAGCGTTTCCTTCTGATTCTCCCTGCTGAGTTTGTGAGGTGGCTGTTCACTTAACCTTTGTGCTTATTTTCCTTATCAGCTAATCAGCCTGCAAGGAGATGTTGTTGTTGTTGTTGTTGTTGTTATGTGCCGTCGAGCCCCGACTCATAGCGACCCCTTCTTGGGTTTCTGAGGCAGTATCACTACGGAAGTAGATTGCCCAACCTTCCTTCCGAGGAATGGCTGGTGGGTTTGAACCGCCAGCCTCTGCAAGGAGATAGGAGCCCATATTAGAAGCCTTCTCAAATCAGTTGAGAAGGCATCTATCTTCAAGGTGCACAGGGGACAAAACTCTAAGATGTAAGAACTCGCTGAAATCCAAAAGGGTCGATGTTATTACAAGGAGACAGGCCCATTGTAGTGCCTGGAAAAGGCCCCATCCTCAACCCCAAATTTCTCTGAGTGCTTTAGTTTCCAGGTAGATACTGTCCAGTTTATTGCTTAATTTGTTTTCTAATCACTGAGCAAAAGGTGTAGTCGAAACCTGAATTTTAAGTGGAATTTTCCATTCATTTATGAAGAATTCAACACATTTTTAAAAATTTCCAGGAAAATAGAATCCATCCATTCCTGAGTAGTTCCCCCTTTAAACAAAGAATAGAATTTCATGTGGTTTTATTCCTTGTTATTTGTAATAGATTTACTGAATCAATAATGCATTTTCAGTACCTTCATTCCTTATTTCCTGTAATTCTTCACACCCAAACATCTTTTGCATGGTTTCTCTTGAATGCAGCAGAGCAATTCTAGGGGTATGTTGTGTTAGAGACCTTAACCTATAGAGCTTCAGAAGGGAAACCCAGTAAGAATGTCTGTTGCTGGACTTCAGAGCTACCTAGGTAGAGAGATCTTTGAGCTTTCTATAGGAAGATAAATATATTAATACCTACTTTTTGGTATGTTGAGAGCCTTTAATATAAAATTTTATAGTACAGTTGGTGGAATTCTTGCCTTTCTGCAGGAAAAGGAACACTAACTCAGAGCCAAGGGGAGCTTTCATAGGTAATCCTGTCTCCATTGAGTTCCTAGGCATTTCCATCAGCAGAGCTTTTCTTCTGGCCAGAGGTAGATGAGTAAACTCTGTGACCTTCACAGTCACCATTTTCTGTAACACAGGCTTCATTTTATTATGGAAGGCTCTGCTTCTCCCCATAGACGTTCAGCGTCATCAGGGACTAGAGCCTTTTGACTGATGCTTAGAAGGAAGGGAGGCAGAAGACATTTATGAGAAGGGGACAGGAATTTTCCCTGTAAACCAAAATGGAGACAGTGGCCAAAGCTGATCTTTTTCATGCCTTGTTACTTCTTCTCTCGTTTGAGATCAGAGCTTCTGGAACTCTACTTTGCTTTGCCATGGAATGTAACAGGGTGACCTCTGTATTGAGGTTTCTTGGAGAGTTGGGCCAGTTTCCTTCCTTCCTTCCATGTATCCATCCATCCATATGAATATTAATTTGAGGACAATATGTTGATCACGTGCTCTCTGTCAGGTACTACACTGAAGTGCATGAAAGAATATGAAATTTCCTTGATCATTAACTCTCAGTTTAGTTGTGGAGAGGGAGGATAGTTAATAATGCAATATATAAAGGACATCTAGAGATATATGTGCAGATGAAGTGACTAAGAATTCCAGTATTATAGCATTAAAAAGGCATTAGAAAATGATATGGATGTAGTGATAGAGGTTGGATAAGACAATTGTCCATTATTATCCCATTTTTGTATTTGTATTAAGGAGCTCTCGTGGTGCAGTGCCTAAGGCATTTCACTGCTAACCAGAAGGTTGGCAGTTCAAACCCACCAGCCACTCTATGGAAGGAAAATGGGGCAATCTACTTCCATAAAGTACTGCCTTAGAAACCCAGTGGGGGTCGCTATGAGTCAGGATTGACTTGATGACAGTGGGTTTGGGGTTTTTTTTTTTGCATTTGTATTGAATATGTGTGTGTTTGTTCCCTTCTAGCACTAAATCATATGAATACAGATGTTGTTCATATAATATTTAGTTAGCTCTTCTTTTTCCATTGAACATTATAACATCTATACACACAAAAACACATAAAAACTCTTACGCACCTGTTCATTCATAGACTTTTGTGTGTGTGTATGTATATGTGTGTGTGTATGAGTAACTCATGAGTCACACACACAGTCTTTTAGGGATAATAATAACCAGGGATTTTGATAAGAGTAGTTTCCTTAAATCTATGCACAGTATTTTTTCTACATCTATCAAGGATACCCAAGAGAAATATCATCTTTTCTCCTTCTCTAAATGTTTGTTTTATGTTTAGCAGTGATGGGCATTTACAAGGGAGATTGTTTTGAGTGCTTTTTTTGGTGCCCCAGTAGAGAAGCAATGAGACAGGAAGGGCAACCCAATGCCATTGGACTTGTAGCTCAATTTAAGTCACAACACATCGTATTGCTGGTGAGAGACATTAGGGCTTTACAGGCAAGGAAATGGCCAAAGTGATTTTTTCCCGAAATGTTATTCATATGAAATGGCTTTACCTCCTGACATTGGAAACCAAAACTGGAATTTTTCAATTGTAAATGTGTCAAAGAAGATTAAAAGCCTGTGGTATATGTGTGTCTAAGAAGCTGTGGTCAGAGAAACCGCTGGTGTGGTTGAGGAATGGGCTATCACACATAATATATTTACACTGTAAAGTGTAGTCATAGGTTATTTATTTTAAAGCATTTCATTTATTCCATAGCACCAGGTAGAGATACAAAACCATAAAAAATGGTGATAAAATCAAGCAAAACTAACTCAACATTGTTTTATTCTGACAGGCAAGGATTTATGATTATGGCTATGAATGTGCTATTTAAAAGTTTTTGACTAGAAGCAATAAAACTTTTCTTCTCTCTTCCTTGATTACAAAAAGTCTGAATTTACAGAAAGAAAAGGTCCCACACTGGTAGGAGCACCGGCTTTGAGACCACGGTTAGGCTACATGAGATCATTTTCATCTTGTCTATTGCTAAACAAATGGGCCCCCAGAAATTGCAGTACTAGTTTAACTTCTGGGTTCACTGCCACATGTTATAAAAGAACATCAAAGTATATATCTCAAGACTTCTCAGAGCGACATACATGTGTTGTTTTCAAATTACAAGCCCAGTGATTAAGTCTGTGACGAGACTAAGAAAAGAACTTAGAACTCTGTCACTTCCTACCACACTCTAGCTTCAAACGTGGATCCACAGTACATTCTCAGGGGCTGCCCATTCTTGATGATTTGGTTTTTATCTTGTTGACAAAGTAGATAATTGGTATCAGCGTATTCTAGATCAGTGGGGCGGCCGCATTTTCACGATGCGCTGCCATCTGATTTCATTGGCTTTGTTTGTATTTGTGGTTCTGGTGTTTCATTGGTTCCATTCTCATGATCAGAATGAGACAAACACAGATGAGCTCGAATGTTTAAGGGAAGGCTAAATGAGGTCAGACCATTCTTTCCAAATGAGAATTTCTTAGTAGAACAAATAGAGAAAAATAGTAAGAGTATTGAGCATCACGGGGCACCTGGTGGGATTGAGGATGCCATCAGACAACCTGTGTCATGGTGGCCGTGCCATAGTCATGTTATGAGTAACAGTTTCATTTAGGCAAAACCACAATTCCTATATGTTAAGTTAATGGTTGTGTGAATTTATTCATCAGTAGTTTTACTGCTATTTAATTTGTGCTTTTCATTTAATTTAACAAGTATATATCAGTTATAAAAGTAATACAAGGTTCATAGATATTTAAGAAATCTTAAAAACAAAGTCCCTGGGTGCTACAAGCTGTTAAGAACTTGGCTACTAACTAAAGGTTGGAAGTTCAAATCCACTTGGAGCCACTTTGGAGAAAACACCTGGTGATCTCATTCCAAAACCAGCCGCGGATAACCCTGTGGAGCACAGTTCTACTCTGACACTCACGGGGTGGCCAGGAGTTAGAATCAACTCAATGGGAACTGATTTAAAAATAAAAGCAAATTAGGTCAGCACTGGAGGAGCTTAAAAACCATTTGCCTTTCCACTACTAAACTTTGAGCGAAATGTTTAGATTCCTCCCTGATTGCTAAGTCATCATTTGAAGGATTGGAACCCCATACCTGGTGGCTCAGCCCTGGACCTGGGGCAGAATTGCACAGGGTCAACAACAAAGCCTTTCTTCAGCAAAGTTGGCTATTCCTTGTACATGTTGTACTTTACACTGAGTTAGTGGTTATACCCTACCTGCACCTCCAAACACTCAGCTACACTTGATTATGTGTTTCTGGTCCAGACTTGAGTATGGGAGAGCTTAAGCAGGCTCATCTCCAGCTGGAAGAGAGGGACTGCAGGATCTCAGAGCACAGGAAGTCACAAGAGAAAGTGGGGCACCAAAGAAAAACAATCATTGAAATTCACAAAATTCAGTGGAACATATATTTGGCAAAGCATTATTCTCTGCTCTCCAACAATAGGGTGTTCTGTTTTTGTTTTTCCTGCAGCACCATCAACATGAGTTTGTCATCAGCAGAGGAGATGACGTCGGAGGGAGTTGCGGCAGCTGCCTGGCTACCTCCT